GGGTTTAGGGTTTAGGGTGGTATTATTTGGGTAGTTCTCTGAATTAGGGTTCCCTTTTACATCTCAAATATAGTACGGCAGTCTTATTAAAAAGGACCCTAAAAGGGACTCTAATTTAGAGAACTACCCATTTAGTAGTATGACGATGATGCGTATGACTTAACATGATGGTGATGGTTATTATGATAACCGGTTACCATTGTTATGACTATATGACTATGACTTATGTTCTTTCTTTTCGTTTTGGTAGACTTGTGGTCGCTCATGGGGCTCTGCAGGGCGCATGTGCAACGCTTTCTGGGTACATCTGCACATTGGAGGCTTTGTCATCCAAACACGGTAAACAGGTCTTTGTAGGACAGTATCCCGCTGCTTGTCCTCCTCCTCCTCGAGGGTTTCACGCGGAGCGGAACTTTGGAGTGGCCTCGTATCTGGGACCATCTGGGGCTCAGGATTTGCTTGTGGGAACGAATTGGCCAGGGGAACCTAGGAGCCCAATGATGCAGGTACTGATGTCAAGCAGAGCAGGATGTCATCTCACATCGAGAGGGTGCGACTGCAGGTAATTAGTTCTTAAAGTAAAGCGGGACAGATCACAGCATGCACGGCGCTCTGCAGAAGTGGCTGTTTTAGCTGCCCAAGTGCCTGCAAGAACCGTAGTGCATGTGCAAACACATCACACATTCAGTGTTTTGAGCATAGCTTTTCGGATTGTATTCGCGTTTTGCTATCTGGTCGTTCAAAGCTTTTGCTGACCCTTTGCGTGATCTGCCATGTTTCGTGGGCGGGTCAGCCGTGCAGCGAAGGCGGACAGTGCAGGACAAACTGGATCTCTCATGAATTGCGCCAGAGATTTGCGCTCATGGCATTGGGAGCCATCCTGATATCATGACTTGGGATTCGAAGCACTCTGCTGAAGCCAATACTGCAGAGGATTCGGGGTGTCAACATTTAGCGGACACCACACTTTTCCTTGTGATGGTTTTCCTCCTTTCTCTCACCACCGCTATCGTTGACATGCCACCAACTTGATCACGATCACCGCCAACATCACCCGCACGGCAGCAACAGCAACACTGGCACCTGCAGCACTGGCCAATGCACGAACGGAATGATACACAGCCACCAGCACCCAGCACCCCCAGCACCCCCAGCAGCAGCAGCCGCAGCAGCAGCAGCAGCAGCAGCCGCAGCACCAGCAGCAGCAGCAGCAGCAGCAGCAGCAGCAGCAGCAGCAGCAGCAGCAGCAGCAACAGCAACAACAGCAGCAACTGCAACGACGACGACAACGACAACCACAACGACAACAACAACCACAACAGCAACAACAACCACAACAACAAAAAGCAACAGCAGCAACAACAACAACAACAGCAACAACAACAACAACAACAACAACAACCACAACAACAACAACAACAACAACAACGGAGGACGGCATCCAGGCAGCCTGCCTGGTGAAGTTCGAAAATGCCCTTGATCAAAACAGCGGTAGCCACCATGCGCTTGGAAGCCCTCAAAAGATCGTTCGCCGGGCAGGTCTTTGCTGAAGCGGCCCAGAATGCGGCACAGGCCACATCTCCGAGTGTGATGTTCGAGATCAGTTTGCCGATGTTGGACAGAATTGAAGGGGCCCTTCGTCGGGGCACAAGGGTTAAGGATTTAGGGTTTACGATTTTTGGGAGGCCGCAGTAGTTCCTCTTCCTGCGATCCTGCAAGCTGGTTGGCATCAGCGGCAACTACTATATTACAGGCGCCCCAATCTATGATGCTTGTATAAGTATAAGTCCTTCATGATTATAACCAATTCTAGCACACTGGCCCCAAATCCTGCTCCAGCCACCTAGTGTAAGGGCCTTAATAATCAGAATAATAGGGTTTTGGGGCCCACTATACTATAGACTATACTTATAATAAGGAACGCGCCAAAATAGTTTTGGTAATTATTGAGGCCCCTTTTTTTCAGCCGCTAACCTTTATGTATCAGGCAGATCTGCGTGAGATTTCCGACTAACCCACGGCCCCCTCAACCCTCAAGCCCCTAATGTCCCGAGCTCCCTAAATGGCCCTAAACCCTATATAGACCTAGGTAGCATTAGGGAGACGCCTTAAAAGGGGACCCCTCTGAACCCTACTTATGGCTCTCTTAAACGGGACCTTATTGAGAGGATCTATATCTCCAACAGGCCCCTTAATCCTAACTCCTAAAACCATAAACCATAAACCCCACACATGCCTAAACCCCCAGGAGTCCCAAGTCCCCCGAGCCACAAGCCCTATAAATCCTCAAGGCCCTGAGCCCTACATAAGTTCTAAGCTAGGTGGCCCGAACCAGGTGGACATAGGAGCTCAAAAAACACACTAAACCCTAACCCCTAAACCCCTGAACCCTTAAACACTAAACGGGTAGTTTTCTGAATTCCCTTTTTGGGGCACCAATATAGTACGGCACCCTTCTAAAACGGACCCCCAAAAAGACCCTAATTTAGAGAACTACCCAAACCCTAAACCCCAAAACACTGGCCCTCCGAAGCTCGAAGCCGCGATTCGAAAAGTTGCCGGTGATTTTGTGACCTTCCATGGTCATGAATTCGGTGGTTCGTGGTTTATGGGCGTGGTTTCGGGTTTAGAGGTTTTGGGCATTGGGTTTAGGGGTTGAGGATCTGTTGCCTTAGAGGTTTTGGCGACTAGGCGTTACGGATTTAGGCGCCTGGTCTTTATAGGGTCTCGCCAGTTGGATGTTTCTCGATAATGGACGGGCACGGGGGTCCAGATGGTAACTCACATGTTGTTTCGTTTTGCTGCTATGACTGTTGCTACTCCAGTTGCGACTGCTGAGGCGTCGATGGTGATGATGATGATGATGATGATGATGATGATGATGCTTGTCATTGCCACGGCTTTTGATGGTCATCGTTAGCTGTGTAGAGCGGCCATGCTTGTTGACACCTGCTACTTTGCACCCTCAGTTTATCTTACTCGTATGCAGCCTTCGGCGTGCCATGGTTCATCCCGAAAGGTTCATTTGTGACTGAATCGGTTGCTGGATCGATTTAGGAAAACATAGGACAACTTTAACTCATGTTCTTGATCAGCTGTGAAGGCGAATCGTCTAGCCGTGTAAAGAGACAAATTAAGCCTGAAACCTGATCTCCGAAAGCCAAGTAGCCAAGCGGAGCCCAGAGGTGGGATCCCAGAATGCTGAGCGGCGCATGACCACCTGGGGAAGGCAGGATTCTGTGAGTACTGGTACTAGCAGATGAGCGGTGCAGCAGAGATGTGAGTGATCTAGCAGTGGTCGTCTTGGGGCAGTTGGATGCGCAGCAGCAGCAGCAGCAGCAGCAGCAGCAGCAGCAGCAGCAGCAGCAGTTCAGTAGTTGCAACAGTCATAACATCGCAGAAGCCGAAGACGAGGCCCAAACCCAACATCATGACAAAACGTACCCCTGTCCGGCAATATGAAGCCATTCTGTCATCTCTTCCTCACACGCGCAGCCTGCATGTCCCGGTCTGAATGCAGGCTTTCGAGCACAGTTGGTGCCGATGGCTTTCCGTGGGTGCCTCCGGCACGAAACCCCTTTCTGGTTGTACGTGGATGCTGCCAGTAGGGCCTTCAGAAGCCCGTAACCAATTCCAGCATCTTGTGCTGAGGGTCGCCAAGCCTGCACAGTCTGGAGTTTCGCAGCAGCCAGCAGACGTTTCGTGGCCTGCGATCCTTCGAGTTCGATCAGAACAGCTTGTGAGTTTGAATCCGCGGGAGGATCGATTAAGCACACGGAGCCAGGTAAACGCGCGCTATCTCGGCGAGCAGTACGAGCAGCTTCCGATGCCGACCGAAGACTCCTGGCGCCAGCCACAAATCGGTGCAGGTTGGCTATATCATATTGATCTATGTAAATATTGCTTTCCGTGTGGTTTGCGTTTGCATCAAAGTAGTGCGGTCTCGTCTATAGAATTACATAGTTTGTCTGGTCTGTCCTTCTTGCTTTCTGGCCGCCTGTCATCAGTGTGCTCTTTCTGGGTGTCTCTGTTCATGTGTAGTGGATGCGAAAATGCACATGCCCGGTGTCCTCCAACAACTGCACGTTGTGGTTGCATTACTTTGAGCCGCATGCTGTGAGGCCTTGTCCTTTTTGGCTTGAGGCGCAGGTCGAGAACAAATCCAAGTTTGCTGATTTGCAGTGCCCGGGTGGCCGTCACGTTGTGGAATCACAGAAAACCCTAAGGCCCTAAACTCTAAACCTGAATCGCAGAACCTACATCCCTGTCCTCCCAGAGAAGCCGAGGATAATGCCATCGGCAAGCCCTCGGAGTGTCATTGGCGCTCCGAATGGTGCCTTGGCGTAATGTCATGTACTGTCTGGATACACCAAGAAGAGCGAAGGCAACCGTGGCAAACAGAAATACCAGCAGCAGTAAAGTAGTAGTAAAGTCATAGCAATAAGCTGGCAATAAAACTGAATTGAGTGGCAACAGTGTTAATACTGGGATATCTGGGGATGAATGCAACTCAGTCAGACGAGTGTCTGACATGTCTGAGCAGCCCACTGCATCTGCTAGACACAAATTTCCCGTACCATATGTTACGTTTGCTATTCACGACTTGCTGACGTATTGCCCAATAACGTTGGTGTGGCATGTCAGACTTCTCAATGTCATTGATTTTGCGTTTCGAGTTGCTTGCTTGTGCTGTATGTCACTGTATGTACACAGTAGTCACCGTAGTAGATGAGCTACTGCAGCCGCAGCAGGAGGAGCGCACTCGCACTAGCACTAGCACCAGCACCACTACTACGACGACAACCACTACTAATGATCAGAATAACCGCTCGTATGAGCGAAGTATAGTTTTAGCAGCAGTAACGATAAGAACCGTCACGTTAACAGGACCTTGTCGTGCCTCCGGCTAGGTCTGCAGCCGAACTACGGGAAGCTGCTGACGAACACGTGGCTTCTCACAGTCGGCCTTCAGGGTTGATACTATCGGTCTAGGGGTCTCGAGCCCCAAGTGCCCACCGGGACTTGGGAGGCTACTGTATAGGGCTTAAGGATGCCGGTGTAGATAGAGTTCAGGATGATTTCGCGGGTTTTTGTTCAGAGAACCCTGTCGACCCAAAACTGAAACTGTCACATCTTAGGTGATGCTCTCCTGGACAGCGAGCAATCCGGTGAAGGCCGCAGAGAACACTCTGCCGAGTTTCGTGGGCCGTCCGCTGAATTCCACCAAATCCCCAAACAAAGGACGGAACCCCGAATCAATCCTAAACTCCTAAGTTTCGAATGCGTTTTCCCACAGGTGCAGAGGGCCTCGCTTCCCCTTTCACGCGGCATTTAGGAGTCAGTTAACACATTCCAAAGGCGCTCCTCGCATGTCAGACTCTACTTTGGATGATGGCACATGCTGTCGTCGATTCAGCGATTGAAATCATGTTTTGAGCTCACTTTCCCAAGTTTGGGGTTCTCACGACCCGATGATGCTTGCTGTTGTCGGTGATTCTCGGCGTCCATGTAGTAGCCGCTGAAGCACTGCACGGCTGGGCTGATCAACGGAGTGTAGAGACCATGTGATCTTCGAGCAGAAAGACAGATACCATGAGAATCCATGAGCAGTAGAACTTTGATCACTTACTCACGCTACCCGAAAAAGTGCATAGCTGAAGACAGCCCATGCGAGACGCGGCAATCTCCTACTGTAGCTTCGTCAAAATGCCACTACCGTGTCAGGCCTTGCCAGTGATTGAGCGTGGTGAGGGAGTTTACCTCTACGATACGAACGGCAAGAAGCGCCTTATCCGCACGATGTTTAGTGTGGCACGAACCTCCAACCGCAAGGACTTGATTGTATGAAGGTTGCAGACGAAATCGCTGGCTCTAGCAACAACAGTAACCAAGGTTGCTGTGGCGTTTTTCTGTAGGCCTTCCGCCTTGACTTCCTTAGCTGGCCTTGTGTCTGCTCTACATCTCCGCATCCTGAAAAGTGTCTTAACTGGAGTTGCTCGTTTGCCTAGAGTTTTCGGCGCAACCCAGGTACTTGGACTGGACGAGCCAGGCAGTTTGTGTGAATCTGGGACACACGGTTCCTGATCCTGAGACTGAACACTGCTGGGAGCAGGAGGAGGGGTAGCAATATGAGCAGTGGCGGTAGAACCCCTAACATTATGCCTGCTGCTGCTGCTGCTATTACTACTTCTACTACTACTACTACTACTACTACTACGACTACGACTCCTCTTACTACTACTCCTGCTGCTACTACTACTACTACTACTACTACTACTGCGGAGTACGACGACGACGTCTGATAGTCCTACTTGCATTGTCATTCATCGTGTCACAATACTCCCAACAAGTCCAATGCTGATGTCAACTGTTTGCTGCGACTACTGCAGCGCCATTCATTCTTCATGACCCATGTGAGGATCATTATGGCTTTATCGCTTTCAACCTACTGGTTCATTTCTCAAACAGCAAGTATCACAATGATGGAATCGCCATCGGCCAGAGTCGTAAATACTTTAGTACCAGGCTGCTTTCACTGGCTTTGATAATGAGCCTGCGATGAACATATGTTTTGAACGGATCTATGCGTAATATACATATACATATATATGTACAAATTATATATATATATATATATATAGACATGATATAGGTGTAGATATAGGCATAGATACAAGTCTAGCTAGTTTACTCCTTGATCAAATGACTGTTCAATTCGGAAGTCAGTTCATCATTTATCATGTGTATACACATACATATGTATGTATGTATGTATGTATGTATGTATGTATATATATATATATATGTATAGATGTGCACACGAGTCATTTGTTTGTTTTAGTTTATGTGGTTACATTTGTCTATTTCTTAGTATTTTGTGTGTCTGTGATTATGTATTTAGTCTAGTTGTGTTTCGACTAATGTGTAAAGTTTCCTGTCGCTCCCCATAAAGCAAAGTGACGACCGTGATTGTTATCCTGTCAATGGTTCTCGCAGAGAATGATGCGGTCTTGATCGTGATGTTGATTGATTGGCGGATGGATGCATGGATGGGTTGATGGACGGACGGACGGAGATGATGATGAGGATGGGGATGAGGATGTGGATGATGATGATGATGATGATGATGCTGATGATGATGATGCTGATGATGATGATGTTGATGATGACAGAGATGATGTGGATGTCGATGATGTTTGCTGTGATTGTGTTGTGGTTGGTGATGATAACGGTTATGATGATGATGATGATGAGAAGAATAAGAAGAAGCAGGAGGATGCTGGTGACTGATGAAGTTCATGCCCGTGATGCATTTGCTGTTCCTGGCAGTGGCCTCGACTGTGGGTTGAGTGACATGGCTTGCCTCACTGACTGGACAGCCTGTCTGAGCGCACAGCTCCGCACGTTGCAAATTTAGAGTCAACCCAGAAGTCCTAGAAGTCTGTAAGCCCTGAGCCTTACAACCCTATAATCCTAAACCCTAAAACCTTAAATCAGCCTTCGCAAGAGAGAACCCAAACTCTGAACCTGCGTCCTCGAGAAGAATCCCCGTTTCCTCAGGAAGTAATCAAGCAAGGGATCAACGAGCAACTGGACTCGCTGCCTTACGTGTCGCCCGGCTCAGCTCTAGCAAGCCCAAAGGCCACATAAACTAAGCATTTAGGGATATTGCCGGTTCAGAGTTTGGGGGGTTTGCTGCTAGGCGCGCTTCCCCAACTGCGATTCGAGCTGCAGAGCCCTGTGCGGGATGCTTGATGCTACTGTAGGGCTCAAGCTGGCCAGTCGGTTTTCGACTGCCGGCACAGGTTCAAAATAGGATAGTTTTCTGCTTTCCGGGGTTCGCTGCGATGGCCTCGGTTTGGAAGCACGTAGCTTCTGCCGCAAGTGTGCTGTGTGACAATAGGGTATACACTGTATACACGTCGAGCACAGAGAACATGCTCAAAGAGCAGGTGCTCCAGCAGCAGTCGTCTCTCGAAGAGCTGCGGAACTTGCTGAACCATGAGCAGATGATCACACAAGAGTTGCGAGCGCAGCTGAAAGACGAGAGAAGGAGAGCTCAGCTGAGCAGCCCAGAGCAGCCGAATGCGCGGCACGCAGAGGCGGCTCTCCTGCAAGCTCTCCTTGCAGACAGAATGAGGCTAGCAGACCAGCTGCAGGAGATGAAAAGCAAATTCCAAGAGCAAGCCTCAGAGCTGGAACAAGCCCACGTTGAGCTGGAAAAGGTCAAGGCAGATCTCCATGAAAAGCACCTTTTGAACGCATCTCGCGACTCCGAGAAGGAGCTGCTAGGTGCTCTCATGGAGCGTGTATCTCACCTGGTGATGGCTGGCGAGGCTGCGAGTGAAAGAAGCGACCAGAAGCTCCCCCAGGAGTTGGATGTGGTGCAGGCGCAGATACCCGTGAAGGAATGGCAATCTGCGAAGACAGAGTTGCCGATTCAGATTGCAGCTCGTGAGGCTGCAGAGCTCCGACAGGAGCTGGAAGATTTGCATCACAAGCTGGAGCATGAGGAAGCTGTGAATAAGCTGCAACATGCATCGTTCATCAGATTGTACAATCGCCATACAGCCTTTGAGGCTGAGGTCAGACATTTTTTGCAAAAGCTAGGACAGAGGCATCCTGACCTTGCATGTGATTTCGCGTCTGCATGTGGAGATGCACATGCGAGCTGACAGCCTCTGAAAGTTAATGGCTTGACCGGCATCCGTTGATGCCCTGTCTTTGTTCTGTAGGCAAGAAGCTTCAATAGCCGTTCTTGCCGACGATCGCCGTCAACATCCTTTCACAGTTCACACTCGTGTTGCAATGTTCAATCACTTCGTCTCACCAAGCGTGTTCTTCGCGTAAACGCCAGCACGCTCTGAGGTTTCGCCATTGCCGGCCGCAGAAACCATTGCATTTTCAGCCGATTGCTAGTTTTGAATGTGTGATTTGGTCGCACAGTTCCCAGTAATCCTTCTAATATAAGGGCCTTAATTATTACCTATACTATTTTGGGGGCTCCTTATTATGACCTTTGGTTTTTGTACCCCAAAACCCTCTTCTAATTATTAAGGCTCCTACGTTAGTTAAGATACCACCTGCTGTGATTTCTAGGTACTTTTGCTAAGCTTCTGAACTTCTTTCGGCTCTTTTCAGGCAGAGCTCTGACAACGACGATAAACCCTAAAACCCAAACCCTAAACCCTAAACCAGCCCTAAACCCTAGACCCGAAACCCCGAACCCTAAATCCGAAGCCCCACAGACTCCGTCAGGTACGGCGGCCTCGGGTTGGCTCCAGTCAGGGCGAAGCTTGCGAAGCCGGGAGTCCCAGAATACTAAGGCGGTTTTGGGGTTAAGGCGGTTTGGGGGTTTAGGGTTTGGGGTTTAGGTTTGGGGGCTTAGGGTTTAGGGCTTGGGGTTTGGGATTTAGGTTTGGGGGTTTAGGGTTTGGGGTTTGGGGTTTGGGGTTTAGGTTTGGGGGTTTAGGGTTTGGGGTTTAGGTTTGGGGGTTTGGGGTTTTAGGGTTTTAGGGTTTCGGGTTTAGGGTTGAGGGTTTGGGGACTCTTTAGGGTTTAAGGGTTCAGGGACTCTTTAGGGTTTATAGGGTTTAGGGGTGCTTTAGGGTTCAGGGTTTAGGGACTGTTTAGGGTTAAGGGTGTAGGGACTCTTTATGGTTTAGGGTTTAGGGACACTTTAATCGGTATCACCGGGGTCGTAATCTCTCTGGGTTCAGGGATTATGGTCTTGATAATGAAGGGTCGCTGTTAGGGACCCTATAAGTGGCCTATAATTATAAGGGTGAGCATAAGGGAAACTTTAACTGCTACTTTGAGGGGTCGCAACAATTGCAAAAGCATGTAAAGGGTACGGTGAAACGGGCAGGAGTTTGCCTGAAGGGTATGCAAGTAAGGGCAGCCTAAAGGACGTTCAGCACTCTGCGTAGGGCCGCAGTTGTCCAGCACTTTGAGTAGGGCCGGAGTTGTTGAGTTTCTAACAAGCCCTCCGCATCCTGTGCTACTCTTCTTTGGCACAGCGCTTGTCTCAGCTTCAAGTGGTTCTGGTTTGAAGCTTGAGTTCTCCAATCTGTTTTTTTGCAATGTATTGGTTTCAACGAGCCTCATGTAATCGCTCAAATGCAGCTCGTCAGGAGCAGCGCTGGCGGGGTGAGGAGAAGAAACCACATTGAGTTTGACATAGTGTGCTCCCACATGTCAATGGCAAACGGGTCAAACAGGCACAAACTAGCACTGACAGCCAACCTTCGGCGCATGACTTATGAACGTGCAGGTGCACGCACAAACTCGAGTCGGGATGTCGCGCAGTTTGTGTTGCTACTCCTGCAGTGATTGCCGGAGAACGGTTCTACTAAAGCTACTACCCTAAACCCCAACCCTCCCGGTGCCCACTATAGAGGGCACTAGAGCCCTTAGGGCCCCATATGGCAGGTACCTGGAGGGTTAGGGTAAACCCTAGCCATCCCTCATGGAGCTTCTGGATGCTGAAACAGTGCAGGCGGAAAAGGGCCCCTGAACAAGAAAAGCTTATAGCCAATAAATGCCTAATACAGGGGCCTCAATTTCATTGCCAATACTATTTTTGGGGGTTTCTTATGATAGCTATCGTAGAATATGCCCCCAAACCCTACTCTAATTAGTTTAAGGCCCCTACATTGTAGCCAATACATGCCAGCAGCTGTCTAGCGAATCGAGCGCCACCCTCCACTGCCTCCAGGCTCTTGGCTGAGATTTGCCCTGGAGACCTGACAGGACACAGGGTTTTATTCGACTTTACTCTAAAGCTCTGCACTGTTATGGTTATGATTATGATAATGACTAGCTTTATTACGCTTGTATATGGGTAGTTCTCTAAATTAGGGTCCCTTTTAGTGGTCCTTTTATGAGCGTGCCGTACTTTTCTTCTTGGGGATCTAAAAAGCGATTCTAGTTTAGAGAACTACCCCTATGATTGCTACGTATTGTGTAGCAGTTACAGGGCCGCTAGTGCCAGTTTAACCTAGCATCGTTATTGCATTGTGGTAATGGTTTGTCTTGGGACTGTAGAGGCTTGTATGACGTGCTTCGATATTCGATGCTTGCCTAAATCCTACCGAAACCTCAAGAACAGCGCCCAGAGAACTTCCCGGGTGAGAGGTATTGAAACCCTGGCCCTAAACCCGCTCCCAAATTGGAAAGCGAACAGCCAATGCAGCTCTGTCGAACGCATATCTACAACTTACAGCACGAAAACCTCGTAGGGGGATGGGGGCTGTGATGTTCCGCTGATTTGGAGGGCGGATCGAGCTGCCTTGGCTGCTTTGAGGTCCAACTATCAGGGAGACTGTAAGGGTTATCATAGGGGGATACTATCAAGGCTACTACAGTACTACAGAAGCCTCGCTCATTACGAAGATCACTCCTCAAGGTTCCCAAGTATAAAGGCACTGTAGAAAATGGCGCCCTAAGCTCCTGTTTTTGAAGGGTTCTATCATGCCTGAACTGAATTCCTCAACTGCTTTGATAATCCATATGCGTATGCTATGATCCTAGGTACTGTTAGGGAGACCCCTTAAAAGGGACCCTTCTTAACCTTACTTATGGCTCTTCAGAACAGGACCTTATTGAGGAAATATATATCCCCAAGGGTCCCCCTAATTAATCCTAACTCCTATACGGTCCTATATGATTAGGATCTTTACCCTCAGCACCACACCCCTCCACAATTGCAGACAGCTTCCGCAGGCTTCCTCTTCCCCAGTGGCGGAGGCGAGGCAAACGAGGCGTCTCGGCTGGGAGTTTTCGAAGGCTTGAGGCTTTTGGCTGGCTGGCTGTAATCTAAACCCTAATCCCTAAACCCTAAACCCTAAACCCTAATCTATTCCCAGCTTGGTTTATCAGTCAGACTGACATGTTTTGGACGGTGCGAGACCCGAGGTCAGGTTTCTGATGGCTTGGCTGCCCTACCAAAAGGTTTAGGGTCAAGCAGTTCGGGAATAAAGTTTAGGTTTGCTGCTTTACTAACCGTATGTGCCGCCTTGAACCGAAAGCTATGGAAGCACGACCCCCCATGTTCTTCGTCAGACCTTTTTCTCTGGGCACTGGCGATGCGATTTGTGTTGGTAGTCTGATCCTGGTTGCAGGCATCGTTCTAGTCACGTAGCAAGATCCCGCTGCCCTTGTACCGCCGTTCATAGTACGTTTGTTCTGATTGTCGAAGTGTCCCAGGATCTACAACTCCGTAAATCCCCTAAACCCTAAACCCTAAACCCTAAACCCAAACCCATAACCTGTAAACCGTGCCGAGGCTGCTATCCGCCTCGCACGCCTGTACACGGGCAAGCACAAGATCTTCACGCAGTACAGGCACGACGTCTTCGTGTGAAGGATTTTGGGCAAGGCACGAGATATTGAAGCCTTAGCAATTAGCAATACTTCTCCTTAGGTCTCCTTGCCATAATCATCGCACTATATACCCCAAACCCTATTCAAAGTATTCAGGACCCTGTATATTATCCACATCTCTACTTTTTGGGGAGCCAACAGCCATGAACGTTTCTTGAAGTTGCGTGTTTCGCTTCCTTCCATTTTGCGTCGGGGGGTTGGCATCGCCAAGAGCGCTCGCTTGCCAAGAGCATCCATCGTCCACTTTGTCGTGTTGCCCGTGTTTTTGCTACTGTGTCAGTCGTGTATATGACGTATGAAGATGCTGCCACTCAGACTCCTCCTGCTGTAGTTCTATCAAGTGATCCTTCTACCCTTAACCCTTAAACCCCAAACCCTACACCGTCATTATTTGGGTCAGTGTCTCTCCCAGTGCCCGCAGCATGCCCACTGGCTGGCAGCATGAAGTATTCAAACGAAGTTGTCCATTACATGCATGATATCGCAGCTTGCGTACTTGGTTCGTCACTATAATTTTATATTGGTTCGCCAAGGTGACCTAAAATACTCTTTTGCTGTGCCACTGAGCCAACTGAGCATGAAATCCTGACCGGCATGACAACAAATCCCTTCAGGATCAAACACCTGCGACCCGCAAAAGCTACACAAACAATGATTCCGATCGCATGTTGAACCCGGGTTTGTCCACCAAACATGAGCCTGTAGCATGCACCTCACTATTTCGCATAGCCCAGTCAAGTTAATGATAAGCGGCACTTAACTCCGTGCTGACAGCCCCAGCACACTCTGAGCTCTGGCTTCTTCTGAAGCATCATCAAGGTTCAGGCTTCATGGCCCTGCCTCTCGCGGGTGCATGTTTTCTGGAAACCCTGCACCCCCGACAGCCCATGAGCCTTCAGGCTCAAGCCACATACCTTGCAGTTCCCAAGCTACCAACTCAACCCTTGCAACCCCAACTCCTCTACAACGAAGCCGAATAGCTTCCTAAGACATAAACTCCACCCGACAATATAAAGCCCAAATCTCCGGCATGATTGGAGTCCTTCAGGTCCTACCACGGAGCCTCTGCCTCCTCCTTGGGCGCCACGGGCGACTTCCGCCGGAAATTCGCGGAGAGTGGGCAGAACGGCGCCATGGTGTTGCAATTCGTCGTCTGAAGTGCGTATAAAGATGGGCTCTAGGGCATGGAATCCATGTAGTGGTGATGGTCTTGGTTGGCCTCGGTGCTCGTCTGCACAGTGGCAGCAGCAGTCGTGTCGTGATCGTCGGAGGCCGGGACCCCACGTGAGGGTCCGAGTTGGGTTTTGGGGCGGAACTCCGAGAGCTTTGTGTGGCGTGGCGCAGCGGAGGGCTTTGAAGCCACAGCCCTTGTTGCTCCTGAGCTGAGAGCCCCGAAGCCTGAATCCTGATCAAGGCTTCGTGAAGTTCTTCAACCCACAGCCGAACGGCTTCAGCTGGGGCACCACAGACTACTCGGCAACACAGCGAACTCTGGCCTGCCTCGAGGAAGAGTTGCTACTGCCACTGAGCGACTGTAACCCTAAGGGTCCAAGTACATAATAATCATATACTCTCCCAAATAGTAACCTACATAACTACTATCCGAGACCTAAGGACCTGAATATTGGGTCCTTTGGACCCTTGGGATAAGTGTACTGTGCTACTGTAAGTGTGCCTGCTTTGCCCCGGCCTGTGTAGGCAGCCCGTCTTCAAGCAACTCGGAGTGTGATGCAGCGATTGTGGCCCCGGAAACTAGAGCGTGCCTTGCAGGACCAAATCTTGGCTGAAGGGCCAGAGACCATTGCTGCCGTCCTCGTTGCGCCTTTGCATGCCTTAGGGTTCAGGGTTCAGGGCCTCCACAAGAAGTCTCGACTGTTGACGGACAGCTTGGCACAAGTCTTGCCGGATTGCGATGTTCTAAGGACTTTAGGCGGGACCCCTAATAGGGAGCCTTAATCCCATTACCTTAAATAACCATTGTATAGTCGCCATCTCGAAGCTTCGCTCCCCACCCTTCAAGCCTCTCATGACTCTTGCAGAGTCGGCTGAGGAGAGCATCGTGGGTGCTGGTGGTGTCCTGGTCCCACCCGAGGGATACATGGAGGGCCTCCGGGCTCTCTGTGACAAGTGCCCTCGGCACGATCTTGTCGCACACTGCAACCCTAACTCTCCAGGTGCCCACCATAGAGTCCTGTAGAGGGTACTGGAACCCTTAGGGCCCCATATGGTAGGTACCTGGAGGGTCAGGGCAAGTTTGCTCTGAAACTTGACCTTACGTCGCCACCTGTGCATGAAAGTGCATGGCATTTCACGCGACGTTTTGGGCATAGGAAGGGGAGCAGCAGTGGCTTTGAATGATTATTCGGGCAGTTCACAGGCCAGCCACGATCCGTCAGTATAATTCGGAGGAGATAGATAGATAGATAGATAGATAGATAGATAGATAGATAGATAGGTAGGTAGGTAGGTAGGTAGGTAGGTAGGTAGGTAGGTAGGTAGGTAGAAAGAAAGAAAGATAGAAAGATAGATAGGTAGGTAGGTAGGTAGGTAGGTAGGTATAGATAGATATAGATAGATATAGATAGATAAGCACAGATAGATAGACAGATAGATAGATAGATTCACACAGATAGATCGATAGATAGGTCGATAGTTCGATAGATAGATAGATAGATAGATAGCTAGATAGCTAGCTAGCTAGCTAGATAGCTAGCTAGCTAGATAGATAGATAGATCGATTGATAGATGGATAGATAGATAATATACCGAAAGTTTGGTTGGTAGACATAGATACATCGATAGATAGATAGGTAGATAGATCGAAAGAAAGATAGGTCGATAGTCAAATGCCAGCTAGCTAGATAGATACATAAATAGACAGACAGATAGATAGATCGTTAGATCGATGGATATATAGCTTGATAGGTAGATGGATAGATAGATAGATAGATAGATAGATCGATAGAAAGATGGATAGACAGATAGGTAGATAGCTAGATAGGTAGGTAGGTAGGTAGGTAGGTAGGTAGCTAGCTAGCTAGGTAGGTAGGTAGGCAGGTAGGTAGCTGGGCAGATAGGTAGATAGGTAGACAGGTAGGT